TTTACTTAAAGTTCAAAAAACAGTAAAAGACATAGTGATATAACTTTATAGTATTTAGTGACATAGACTTTGCTGGTAAAACTAAAGAAAAGACAAAAAAGAGATTATTATAAATGTAAGGGCAACAGTGACCTCTTGGGGAGAGGGTGGGTTGAGATTGGAAAGAGATGGATAGAGGGCTTCCAGGCCATGTTCTTTTTTTTTTTTTTTAAGATTTTTGTTTATTTATGAGAGGGAGAGAGAGGAAGAGAGAGAGAGCACAAGCAGGGGGAGGGTCAGAGAGAGAGGAAGAAGCAGATTCCCCACTGAGTGCAGAACCCACACAGGGCCCACGGGGGCGGGGTGTGGTTGATGCCATTTCCATCCCAGGACCCAGAGATCATGACCAGAGCCGAAGTCAGGCATTTAACCGACTGAGCCACCCAGGTGCCCCCGCCATGTTCTATTTCTCAACCTGAGTAGCAGTTATGTGAGTGTTCACTTTACAAGAATTTATTAAATGAAACTTTTATATATCGTGCAAAATGTGTGTTATATTTCACAATAAAAAAGATATAAAAGTCACATGAAACCCAATTACTCAGAGACAGTTAATAATTTAACACCTTGATATGTGTACTGCCAGACCTTCTTTAATGCAATATATACTTTTTTTCCCCCATTGCTTTGTAGGCTTTAATTTTTTTTCTTTAATGATATGACCTTCCAGAAGAATTCCTCTTCAAGTTTTTTTTTCCCGCTTTCCATTTAATTTTAACTAAGAGTAAATATCATACAAGCTTTATGCCCCTATGGAAGCCTAAAGCCGTGGAGTGGCTTTCAGGAAATTAGGTTGCTTTAGCCTAAGCTACATTGATTCATAAACCAATCTGCAGGATTTTGCTATAGCTCATGGGAGACTTTTCCTTCTCTGTTAATAATGCGGCTACTTCAAAAGGGAAAAGCCTCTTCCCACTTCTTCACAGTGCTATCTTTTCAAAAGGAAAGGCCAGGCAATGAGGGGGAAAGGCCAGTGAGGGAGTGGTCAGGAGGCTTGAGGCAGAGGAGGGGTCATCCTAAAACTTAACCACAGAACACATCCTGCTGAGCCTGGCCTAGGCAACATTAGGAAGTAGATTTTCCAAAATGATCTAGGATGTTTTTGTCTGGGCACCTGGGTGGCTCAGTCGGTTAAGCATCTGCCTTGGTCTCAGGTCATGATCCCAGCGTTCTAGGTTCAAGTTCGGCATCCAACTCCCTGCTCATCCGGGAGTCTGCTTCTCCCTCCCCTCTGCCTGCCAGCCTATCTGCCTACTTGCGATATCTCTCTCTCTGTCAAATAAATAAATAAAATCTTTAAAAAAATAAACAAAAAAATAAACAAGGCTTTCCCAACTCACTCCCTTTCTTTCCCTGTGGAGCACAAACAGCTTCCGTAGCTCCATCACGCTAACACTGGCCGGTACAAAGTTCTAAAATCTGTAACTGCTCAGTTTCGAATACTTACCAGTAATGGCAATTTGCATTTGTATAGTGTTCGCTATTCCGTTAAGCACTTTCACATATGATCTTGTACAATTGCAATAGCCAATACTCCAAGGTGAGCTGGGAAGCTAATAATACCACCATTTCGCAGGTGGAAACACTCTGCGAGAGCTTGAGTAACCAGCCCCACATTATAGGATTAGTTTTCGACTGTCGATGGACAGTTTGGCTTGTTTTCAGTTTGGGGCTATCACGAATAGAGAGTTGCTATTCTTCTGGTGTTCACACGCACACATTGCTGTTGGGTGTCTACCCATGGGTAAGCCGGGAATAGTGACCCCTTACTGCTCTAAGTGGAAACACATTCAGTGTATACTAAATACAGATATATGGTCAGGGAATAGGAATATCAAATAAATATGTGAGAGCATTCTAATTTTTTAAAAAATCTTTTAGGGACGCCTGAGTGGCTCAGTCGGTTAAACGTCTGCTTTTAGTTTGGGTCATGATCCCAGGATCCTGGGATCGAGTCCTGCATCAGGCTTTTATGTTCTATCAAACATAAAAGAGGTCACATGTTCTTTACAATCTACAGCGGGGAGCCTTCTTCTCCCTCCCCCTGCGGCTCTCCCTGCTTGTGCTTTCCCTCTCCCTCTCTCTCTGATAAATAAAATCTTTAAAAAAAAAAAAAATCTTTTAGTAGATATTTCTTTTTTCAAAGCACTTGGGGTTTTTTGGCTTATTTTTCATCACAAAATAAGTACATATCAGGTGTAAAAATCAAAAGAGCACAAATAAAATCGAAATCACTTAGGATCGCGTTAAATAGAGCTAACTACTCACCATCTTAATAACTGACTACAGATTAAGTCTTGAGCTCTTGTAGAGTGAAAACTCCCCTCCCACACCAGTTCTCCCCCACCCCACACACACACTATATTCTTTATCTGCAAAATTTTCTTAGCTATTCTTGGCCATTTGCTTTCTTATTTAAATTTTAGAATTAGGTTTTACTAAAACTCTATTGAGGTTTCTATTGGATGTGCATTATTTTTATAGACGAATTTGAGTAGAGTTAAAATTTTTACTGCATCGCTTCCTTTCTTTCATAAGCACGGTATAGTTCTCCTTAATTTGTGCCCATTTTTATAACTTTTGAAAAATATGGCACGCTTCAAGAGTTTGTGTGTCAACTCTGCGCAGGGGCAGTGATAATCTTTTCTGTATTGTTCTAATTTTCGTGTGTGTGCTGTGGAAGTGAGCCCTCAGAAGGTAGTTCTTCAGTGTTGGAGGATATGAGGGGGAAAGAAGAGGTCACATGTTCTTTACAATCTACAGAAAACAGTAACTGAGAAAGACATTAATCTGGATTAATTGTGTCTATCAAACATAAAAGTATTTAGCTGTGTGCTGACAATGGGAACAATGTTTTTGGCTTTTCTTATCTTGGCCCTTCTATTATCCAAACCAAAGCTCTTGTCCTGTGGGTGGTCTTGACAGAGGAAATGCACTAGGACAAACGGGTTGGGGGAATGGCGGGGGGGGGGGGGGGGGGGGCGGAGAAAAGAGAAGGAAAAGAAGATGGTCAGCCTTGAGGATGAGGAGGGCTGGGGAGGAGGGACATGTGGCTGGGGCAGGTGAGGCCGGTGGAGAGCAGTGGCGGGTAGGGAAGGGATTAACAGCAAGTGCGGACTCTCTGAGTTTTGCTACTCCAGCAAACCAGCAGCATTACTTGGGATCTTGTCAGAAGCTCAGACTATGGGCCCTAATCATACCTATCCAATCACAATCTGCATTTTAACAAGATCCCAGGTACTTCTTATGCACGTGAAAGTTCCGGGAGCTCCAAGTTGCCCCCAACCAGTCAGAGCCAGTCTTGATCAGTGTCATCAGCCTGAGACCTATTAATAGACGGAACGGGTTTGGTTGCCTAGAGACCTGGAAATCTGGTTCCTGGTGTAGACACGGAGTCTCCAAGTTCTTTTATCACTGTGGCCAAAGCCTTGTGACCTCAGTCGGCCTCAGTTTCTCTGCTAAGCATGTTAGTTCTCTGCAGCAGCTGGATCCTTGCCCTGGACCCCTGTTTCCTCTGCTCAGGTCCTAATGCTCTGCCAAACCCTTGCGCTCCCCCTTCCCTTCAGAAGCAGGCTGTGATTTCCTACTCTTTCCTCAGTTTCTGGCGGGGGGCCTGCAGTGACTGGACCAATCACCTGGAATGGTGCCTGATTTTGAGTATTGTCCCCTGGCCTTCTTCCAGAACTGTGTTCTGCTGGCAGGGAGGACTCACTCCGATATCCAAACAGCCTGGCCCAATCGGAGCTAGTCATGCCCTTTGACTGACACTCACTGGCCTGCCTGGTTGCCCCCTGGGGATGCGCCAGCTTCTGAAGACAGGCTCTGGCCCCTGCACCCCACTGGATTGTGGCTACTTCTTCCTTCCCATGTGCTCACAACCTGTCACAAAGAGGAGGCAGCCAGCAGAGACTGAGGGAAGCTTCAGTTCCTTCTCTCTCTCTTAGCATTTCTGACTCTAGGGCTCCATGGGCCTGCTTCGGAATGGACCTTGAAATTCCCAACAGTGCCCTTGGAGCCTGTTAGGTAACAGGTTTTCTAAAAGTCCTAGAAGACTACTGAGTACAAACAGGCTCAGTGGTTTTGTATCCCTTGCACTTCTGGCCCTTTCTCCCAAGTGGAGAAAAAAATCTTCTTTGCTGCCTGACTCACTTTATAAAAAGAGGCCAAGCCATAGAGAAGCTCAATAATGTCCCTGGTTACCATATCACCATTTTACTTTAAGGGTATTATACCTCCTGCCACGCTCAGTTTATGGTGGAACATTATACAATGCATATCACACCTGCTACAGTGTTTTAAACCAGCACAAAATGTCATGAAGTTCAAAACAATCCTGTTGGCTTCAGTTACAGAGCGCCTGGGTGGCTCAGTCGTTAAGCGTCTGCCTTCAGCTCAGGTCATGATCCCAGGGTCTTGGGCTCGAGCCCCATATCAGGCTCCCTGCTCCGCGGGAAGCCTGCTTCTCCCTCTCCCACTCCCCCTGCTTGTGTTCTCTTTCTCGCTGTGTCTCTCTCTGTGTCAAATAGATAAATAAAATCTTCAAAGAAAAAAATTTTTTTTTCAAAAAACAGTACTCTCCGTTAATTAGTAATAGAGCACGGGCTGTGTCTTTAAGACTGTTGCATCATCTCAATTCCAAAGAACTATTCTTACGGTGATTTAAAAAAGAAGAAGAAGGCAAAGAAAGAAAACAGGAAGAAGTGTGGCAGCACCCACAGGAGGTAAGAAATGCTGTGGGTGTTGTTTCCATTATTTACATATACAACACTTTCACAAGAATCCAAATGTCTTACAAAGAAAATACAATACAAATTGCAATAAAGATGCAGTAACACAGTAAGGCATAAGGAAAACAATTATCCAAAGGAAGGTTTAAATTTGGCATAAATTGTTTACCCAGAAGGAATGGATAAGTGTCCACTGACCCCATCCCATTTGCACCTGCAAAGGTAGGCAGGTACCTGGTGGTGTTCGCCATGTTCGGAAAAGAAGTTACACGTAAAATAGTGGTAAAAGTCGTCATAAAAAACGTCTAAAACCATTCTGAATAAGAAATACCTGCTGTTGAATGAAGTCACTCGAAGTCTCTAAAGTTGCATCACAAGGTTGTCACCTTAGCCAGGATGGGTAAATATGTGAATTTCCAGAAGGCACTCTTGGCCAAGCAAAATCAGAGGTCTGAGGAAGAACTTACTCAAGACTAGAAAAAAATAAATGGATAGTAAATGGAATATATATAAGCATTCACTAGTCATTGCAACTTGCTAAAGGTCCACACTTTCTCAGGATAGATATTAATTGATAAATCATGAAGAAACTGTATTTGAAGTTTGTGTTAAAACAACAACCCAGTTTTAATAGATCTCATGAAGTTGCTTTCAGGGGCATGCCTGCTGTAATGTCATTATTTGAGCAAGGTTCCAAGCAACAACTTCAACTTTTGGAGAAAGGAAAATCCAGTACAGGGGGAAGAATATGCCCAGGAAAAATTTCTAAAATGTTGCAGAGGCTTAAAAATGGTTGATTATATAGAACAACACATCACTACTAGTGCTATTATAACTATAGTATGTGTAGTTATAGTCAAACCACTCAGAATTACAATGTCATTTGTCTTCTTTGTACTTCTTTTGTTTTCACAAGTCACATGGCAAAATCAACAAATACTACATCATCCTGCTCACAATTCAGCTGTGGAAAAAGCATCCGCTCGCTCATGTCAAGGGTAGCTATTATTAGCTTGCGTCGATTCTCCCATACGATACATACCCATGCTTATTAAGCTGTTTGTATGCCTCCTTTGTCGTATTCCTCCATGAATCTGACTATTTCTATGCAGTGAAACCCAGAGATATTATTTCTATAGGCCTTTCCGAAATTAATGCAATCCCTCCATTAAAAAAAAACCAAAACATTATTGGGGGGAAAATGCCACATCATATATGCACTGATATTGAACCTTTCTACAGAAAATATTACAGTACTGGTACTGAATTATATAATGTCCCCCCCAAATCCATGTCCACCCAGAACCTGTAAATATGACCTTATTTGTAAATAGGGTCTTTGCGGACATAATCAGGTTACAATGACGGCATATTGGGTTAGAGTGGTCCCTAAATCTGATGAGTGATGCCCTTATAAGAAGGCCATGGAGACACACAGACGTATAGGGAGATCATCATGTGAACACAGAGGCAGAAATTGAAGTAAGGTAGCCACAGACCAAAGATTGCCAGTAACCCCCAGAAGCTAAGAGAGAGACTTAGAACAGATTCTATCTCAGAGCCTTTGGAGGGATGTGGCCCTGCTGACACTTTGATTTCACACTTTAGCCTCCAGGACTGTGACATATAAATTGCTATTGCTTACCCCTTCCCCCCCCGCCCCGTTTGTGGTATTTTGTCACGGCAGCCCGAGGAAACTACTATGATGCCCAGTTTCCAGATTATGAAAGTAAGTACTCTAAGTTACACAAAAACTCATATTGACTTTCTCTTAGATAATGAAATGAGGGGAGGAAAAGGCTATTTGTCACAGTGACATGGCAAATATAGACCAAAGATATGATGAGAAATGGGTCGTTCTAACGTTGCAAGGCAGGCATAACTGTAAAAGAATGGAAGTTTCAGCTGATGCACCTGAGACATTGCTATCAGTGAGGTATTTTAAAGTGAGGTATGAGAGCTTCCTTTGCAAAATTTGCAAGGAAGGTTGTCAAAATCTGATTACGTGACTTTTCAACTGCTTACATAAACCAAAAGGACATTAAGAATGCGAAGTACGGATGCAAGGAGAGGGTTGTTTTGTACCGAGTGGTCTGTGTGCTGGATATTCTCCCGCCTGGCCTTTCCAAATCTTCACGGACAAAGAAAGTGTCAGTGGTTCCCTTGGAGGGGACGTGGACTACCCCCAAGAGAAAGCAGGCATGAGGGTATCTTGTGTCCTTTCTAGAAGGGTCATCTGGATGGGTGACCAGATGAACAAAAAGGCTGGAGCTGGTGCCAGACTCCCACAGGCTGAGGGAAGACTGAGTGATCAGCCATATTAAGACATATCCATCTGTCGACAGGGAAATGCAGGTGAGAGAAGCCCTACCCTGCGGTGTCCTGAAAAACCAACTGGAGACACAACTTGAAATACCTGTGAAGGCCAGAGAACTCTGACACTAAATCTTCACGGGACTACCAGACTAGTAAGAACCTTCCTGCTCTGTTTTCCTCCTAGTCCTCCCGCTACTCCAACCCGAGAGAAGTGTGAAATCCCTGTTAGAAAGATGAAAGGGGCAGGGATCGGGAAAAGGGAGGCCACGGGCTGCTCTCCTAACCGGATTGTGAGAGGCTGAGCTGGGGAGCGGAGAAGCCTAAGTGCAAAACCAGATGGATGTTTTTACTGTGACCTGACTCTAGACATGTTAATTACTGACCCATGGACATTTTCATTACCCGGAAGTGACCAGAGAATAAAAAGTTGTTCTAAATTTCACCCGAGAGCAGAGAAAGTGTTAACTCTGTGGAATCAATTTGAAGTGTTGCTTTATGATTGATTACATCCTACGAGTCATGCTTGTTCAATGTAATAGTTATATAACCGTTGCTAAATGCAATTTGAAGAGAGTGGTTCTTAGTGCCTTCTGTATAGTTTTTCCCTATGAAGTCACTGCGTCTCTGTCTGAATTTTGGAAAATTATACATCAAATTGTCTTCACAGAGAATTGGGCCCTTGTAACTTATTATCAGCACTCATAAATCTCTAAACTGAAAAGCATTATATGCTTGGCACACATTAGGTGCTCAATAAATGTTGAATGAACGAAGAAATGAATAGGCAGTGAAGAGAAACCCTGATCACCTAGGGTCTTTATAAACCCCAGCTATCCCCAAATTCTCTTCTGGTAGAGCAAGAAAGGTCCCAAGTTCATGATTTCTGGAAAATTCCAACCAGACATTTGGGTTGGAATTTACGGCCTCCATATAAGAAATTATGAAACTTTTTAGTGCTAGAAAGAGGTGATTTAGGAGGTGATTTAGTGCAAGCTCTTCATTTTACAGACAAAGGCCCAAAGAAGTGAAATAATTGGATTCCAGTCACTTTTTCCAGCAGTGCCAATGCTGGCCCTGGAAACTCTTGATAGCTGACTCATTGATAGTGACATTCTTTGATTTCTGGGCTTCTTGCTAGCTTGGCTTTGTTTGAGTGAGAGCTTATGCTCTCTTTGTTAGTTTTCTGATCAATAAAAGAAGTTGCACCAAATTGCTTTCGCCTAATAAACACAAAGAACTGCACCATTGACTTGGCATCGAGTGAGGAGTTAGGATGAGCTCTGTCCTTGAGGAGCTTACGGCTGAGTGGAGGGAACAGACAGGTGAAAAACAGCTCTGACAACATGGGCTAAGTGCTGTATTAGAGGTTAACACACTGTGGAGCTGTGATGACATTTAGGAAAAGCACCTAACCCAACCTAAGGGTCATGGAAGGCTTCCTAGAGGAGGTGACATCTAAGCTGAGTCTTGAGAATGTGGAAAATTTAAGAAGCAGGGTGTGTTCACAGAACCCTAAGGGCTGTACTATGGAGGTATTGCTGAGTACAAGGGGGAAGAGAGAGAGAGGTCAGGCCTGAGAGATCAACCTGTGCCCCAACATGGAGGGATTTCCATGCTATATTAGCGAGTGTAGACTTTATAGAAAGTCTACCAGAAACTCCCAAAGTATCTTTTGCAAGGGACTAGTGAGACCTGATTTCTGACTCAAAAAAAAAAAAAAAAAATCAGTCTAGCTGCAGTATGGGGAATGGTTTTGAAGGAGATAACATAGGCAAAGAGGCTAGCCAAGAAACTACTGAAATAATCCAGGTAAGAAGAAAAATGGCAGCAGAGATGGGAAAGGCCGACTTTCAGAGCAATTGTGCCATAGACTGAATTGTGTGCCCTGCCCCCACAAGGCGCACGTTGCAGCCTTAAGGCCCACTAGGGTGGTATTTAGAGGTGGGGCCTTGGAAGACAATTAGGTTTAGATGAGGTCAGATGGGTGGGGCCCCTGTGATGAGATTAGTGTCCATAGAAGAAGAGGCACCAGAGAGCTTATGCTCTATCTCCACCAGCTGAGCACACAACATGGAGGTGGCCCTCTACAAGCCTGGAAAATGGTCCTCACCAGAAACTGAGCATGCCCGATTTGGGACTTCTTGCCTTCAGAACTGTAAGAACATAAGTTTCTGTGTTTAAGCCACCCAGTGTGTGATAATATGTTGTGGCGACCAGGGCTGGCTAATCCCCCACAGAATTGGGATGCAGGATGCAGGGATGTATTCCTCCTAGGGAATCAGGAGAGGGAGGAGTCAAGGGTTGGACGCGTGTCCAGGCGTAGCAGGTACGGAGAGCACAGAAGGCCTGAAACAGGGAGCACTAGCCGAGAAAGGAGAGACTTACTAGAGACCAGTGAATAGCCAGAGAGATTAAGGGAAAGCAAAAGAGGCCAAAAGAAGGGAATCTTTTTTGAAAAGAAGATATGTTCTTGTGCAAATACGATACAGATGTCGAGATAAAATAAGGTTGAAAGGTGTCCGCCAGCCTCAGCAATAACATGCCTTTGGAGATCTTGGCAAGAGTTGTTTAAACATCGTGAGGCCAGGCACCTGACTGCAATTGGTTGAAGAGGGAATGGGATGTCGGGAATTAGAGACAGCATGGAAAGCCCATTCGAGAATCCTGGCTTTGAAGTAGGGAGGAGAGGTGGCAAGGTAATGAGAAGGGAAGCAAGAGGCTTTTATGCTCAAAGACAAGATTTTTAGGAGTGATGGTGTTGAGGAAGAACTAGAGGAGAGGCAATGATTGATGAGTAAGGTACTGAGTGTGCAGGCCGTGATGAACTACGGAGCTCAGATGTGGCTACTGGCTTTCGAAGGAGGGACTTCCTCCTTCACTGTGGGAAGGTAGTAAGAATATGGGCACAGAATGTGTGCAGGACTAAGTGTAGAGT